TTAGTAGTTTACACAAAATTAGAAACATAAATGGGAAAACACACATGTTAAAATCATATGATAGAATTAGTTCAGATACGGTAACATGTTTCCAACGTTAACAAAAACCTTGACATATAATTTTATAGCCACGACAACACGAATCAACAGTATAATTGTCCATTTTCAAATCATTCAGTTCATTGCTAAGAATTTGGCACAAAATCTGTGAAAAATAAAAAAGTATGAAATTAAATTATAAGTTTGACCTTTTTTGGAAGTCGATAATCGGTCAAAAGGCCGCGGAGGAACTGGGGGTCAATGCTGGATGCTGTTTTCGACATCTCTGAAGTCACTGAACAGAAGTAGCTATGTGCGATAAAACTTTATGGCCTGTACACCGGCGGCGTGCATGCACGCTGATTGTTATTTTTGAGAGGTTCTGCAGCAACATATGCTTTAGTCATTTTTATTATTCGGCGCTAACGACCCCACATCCGCAAGACCGGACCCAATTCATTAGCTGCCGCTAATTTGCTGGAAAACACTTCTCGTACGACATCCGGCCATAAGGGGGGGGGGGGGAGGGTTTGATCGCTCCATCTTCTCTGAACCTCTTCTTCTTCTTCGCAGCGAACCAAATTGGATGAATAATTGATTGAAATTTTGGAGGGGAGATATATAATGGATTAACCGGCAGACCGCAAGTTTGTCATATTATAGGGGGAAGGCAGGGGGAAGGAAATATGTTAATGTCAAGTCATCGTCGACGCCAGAAACTTATATTAGCAATTTAATTTCTATTTGGCATAACCTCGCATCGAGAATCTTGGTTAGTCAAATATGGGCGATCCGAATATTATGCAACTTTATTATTGTATATTAAATGCTTAAAATTTCCGAGAAGTTGTCATGCAGGCTTTCAAGCAGACCCACCCAGGTGAAATTAAATGTAGGAGAACAGTAGGATCAACATTTTCAATAAAAAACAGGACGTAGGAATTTGGAACACAAAATCAGGATACAAGTTGGACTTTTGCGGACTTTCAGTAGTAGTTTTCGTTGATGCTGTCCACAGCATCATAAGCCTCGTTTGGCATGTTCTGTAATCACAACAATTTTGTTCCATCCTCAACTAAGCTCTTGGAAGTACAATTGCAGTACTCCCCAGTACTCCCAAGCCCTTCATTGTGGGATTTTATGACAGTGTGTAACACTTTTGTGACAAATTTTCAATGTTATTTTATTTTTCGGAGTTGTGGGGAAAAAAGTAGGGAAAAGCAGGAAAAAGTAGAAATTTCAAGAAAAAAAGTATGAGAAGTAGGAGCAAGATAAAAACAAACTAGGAAAAACTAGGAAAAGTAGGCCTATAGGAACACTTGATAAGCCTGTGTCGTGTGATACTCTGACACTAGCGCCAGAAATTGTTCTAGACATTTTAGCGTAAATAAAATATTTTCAAGTTTCCACCTTTTCTAAAAATCAAGCAGCTGAATTCGCTCATTGTAAAGATTTTTCACCAATTATAAAGATTGTAACCTAGAATTTCTCCCCCACCTCCCTACAATTTCTCCGGCTGCGATAAATATTTTACTTGTGTCAGTATATACTCACTGAGGCAAAACCTTCCTTTCAAATTCACTCCGTATCACATTCAACCGGTACCAAATAAGAATGGTACACCCAACTATATAACATTGTCCAAGTACATGTATATTGGGGCGATCATAGTGGGGATCAGCCAAACTACAGTTGTGACTGCCGAACTACAGCTAGGTCATGGTTAGGTCTGCCACAACTATAGGTGGAATCGTCCCAACTATAGTTGGACCGTGTTTATAGCTCCATGGTTGGACCATGGAGGAATAAATGGTTGGACGGTCCCAACTAGTAGTTGGGTCCATGGCTCTAGTCGGGGCGTAACAAGAACACACAGATATCACAGGTTGAACACCAACTACATGTATCATTGAAACTTGTTTACAGCCGGTTATGAAAGACAACAATGTACAGCGTGGTTTACAAGTAATTTAATTACCTTGATCACGATCGAATGATTTTTATTGTCTGCCACACGGACTTTTCGTGACTGACAGGAAACGTGCGTACTGAGGTCGAAATATTTATTTAGTTTTTCTCAACAAGGTGCGTGCTATTCTGTACAATATCTATAGACAACTAGGATTTTTTTATCACCTGTACTTTTTCTCCCCCAAAAAGACTTTGCAGTTGTTTAGGGCAGGACCAGCCTAGCGTGACATTAGTTCCACGCCAGCTTATTGTGTTTGCCCAGCCCCGTGACAAGATATGAGAAGAAACTAATTAACCCAAAGTGTTTGGGCCTTGGGTGAAGAAAATAAAAATAAGAGATTTACCCGTCAACCTCGTTCAGTGAACTCCCCCTCTCTCTTGATAGCAATTTTTAGATGATTTCAATGCAGTCTGCCAATTTTTTTCAGCGTGCCATTTGTAAACTTTGGATGCACTTTTTTACGGACACGAGTCACTGACCGAGCGCCATATTTGAAAGCTTTAAACCGCCCTCTGTAGTTCAGCAACCCCCTTTCAAGAACATTCTCCAGGTTTTTCTGCGATATAAACTTCCCTCGGATCGGTGTACTGCTTATGTAGATTAGAAGCATCAAGAAAGAATCAAGAAGGTAAACTTGACAAAAATACGTTGATAGTGGAGCGGGATTTGATCCTGCGACCTCCAGAACATAGGTCTAGAAATAATATTATACAGGAATAAACTTGCTCGAAGCCGAAAAAAAGGGAAACTATCCGTCCATATTGACGATTTGTTTCTTTCTTTCTGGTAATGAAACCAAGGATTACTCAAAGTGCCGTAGGCACTGTAACTCGCACGCCTGAAGAAACGAGCAGACAATGAGAAGACATGACAGTTTTAGAGGTGGAAGGAAAACCCCAGAAGAATATTTTGGGGAAAATCCACGGAATCAGGTAGGGACTGGAAACCCAATCCACATGTGGACCAGGACAGGAATCGAACCCGGGCCACAGCGCCGTGGATCATGGATGGAAGGCGAGGACAGTATACCACTGCTCCAACCTGACGCCCCAACGATGGTGGATACTGACGTTTACAAGCTCCTTCTGCACATGCACATCATTTAGGCACTTGCCGGAGAGGTCTTGTTATTGACTGTGACTATTGTGCCATCTGAAGATTCGATTGAGCTCCGGTGCTAAGAGGAGTTAGGGCAGTTAGTCCCAGACCTTGACCCCCTCAGAAAGACTGCAAAAAAAGAGACCCTCCAACATCAGGGCTCGCGTGGGTGTAGTCTATACCCCGCTATGAACTGAAACATAGGGTAATAGATGTGGACTATCCACCGGCCCTAGACAGTGTATAGTGTGAAGTTTTGATTCTATGCAATACGGACTCATTGGCTGTATTGCGCATGCCTCAGTGAAGATAATTAGAACAATGACAGGTCACCTGTGAGGGATACGAGTCCACAATAAGGTTCAATAGACCATTATTTTCATAGGAGTCCCAATTTCGTGTGACGTGTGACACCCGTCCAATATTTCATATTGATTTGAGCCAAGTCCAATGATTCATCAGAAAAATCTTACATGGGTGCCTAAAACTCCAAGAAGCTTAAAACAAGAAACACAATAAAATGTCATGTGAGGTAACAGGCTACAGTGCCATGTGAAAATAGTGGTATTTAAATCCGGCTTAGATCACGTGTTGGCATCTCTGACTATTGACCGGTAGGGGCCTATTCGATTAGGGCCTACTGGACGATAGACAGACTATATACCGGACTATTGACCAAAAGAGACTGTACATCGGACTACAGACCGATAGAGGCCTATACAAGTCATGTAGTCTATTTTGTAGTTCACGCTCGATCAACCAAAATGAACCATGTATCTGAGTGACAATACAGGAAACAAGGAGCCAAATTAGAACTATATAAGAAAACAAACTCATCAACGCAGGAAGATCTAAAAAGGAAGATCATCAACAGAGCCGCAATATTGTTTCGATTTACGGAAAGGACTTTCGGTTCTCGCAGTTGATTCGTGTGCAAAACCATGGTAAAACGAACTCTTCCCGTTTGCACCGCGCGCCTAAACGGTCATACCACGTGACAACTCACAGCCAATCGGCGCCCGTCTGCCTGGATTCTCGGCGCGGTCTGTTGTAAATTCTCGATTTCCGATGCCGTATAATGAAAACCACATCCCTTATTTTTGTCGAGAAATAGAGAATGTAAGTTTCGTAATGTCCTATACCTCTGAAGGATGTCACTCGATGGTTTCATAGCCGATAACGTTTCCTTAAAATCGAGACTGGTACCACGTGACGTCAAAAGTGGGCTGAACAGGCCAAATTCAGCGACATTTTGGGACACAGTTGTCTAAAAAACAATTTGAAATTGGTTTTCATTTTCAAAATCAAAATTACGTCCTTAAAAAACTCTTCTACTTCCTCATAATTAATTGTTGATTACCGTTCCTGAAGCCACAAGAAGTGTGTTATATGTAAACGCTCCCGTAAAATTAAACACCAGTCGTGTTCTTTGGTACAAACAATGTGAGCGTCAAAGAAATCCCTCCTGTTTTAAAATTCAGGTCACGCCTTTCGAGTAGAGGGAACGCACACGTAATATTGACACTTGAGCCTCACGTTTGTCATCGTGCTGCGATCTAGAGGATACAAAATCACAGTAAACAAGCAACCTGACAGTTTAACAGCATAACCAGTCTGGCAACTAATACACACAGAAAGATACAGAACACTGCTTTTAAACTTCTCTGGATAAAGCTAATTCGGTCGCGCAACCTATTTCGAAGAATTGCTTTACAATTTTGCTGTCTTCGACTTTCACGGGGAGACACGGCCGGTTAGCGACTTCTTAAAACCCAGACATGTTAAAATGCCGTACAAACCATGGCGAAATAAAACACAGACTAATACCTGTCACGAAATAAAATACACGTGCAGTGTTTTTATCAAGACCATTATTTGAAGTTCTACTTACCTGTAATTGTTTCATGTTAGCGTCTGCGTCCGGTTCGTGTTGCGATTTTTGTGTGTTCCTTTGAGTATAGGGAGGGAAACTGTTCAGCACACACAGGGTACGAAGGAAGGGCGGAATCCGATGATGATGATGATGGCGATGATATGGCAAGGTGTTATTGAGAAACAATTGAGGCGGGCTGAGGGTTGAATATGACCCGGGCCGACAGGTGTGCGAGTGGGACGCTATAAGCTCTGATCTGTTTGTGGGGGAGCTTGGAAACAGTGCGGGTGACCTGAAGGACGGACGGTGCGTTCCCCTGACGTCTCCCCAGCGTCCGTCTCGCTCATTACAACATCTCCTCCCCCTCGTGTCGTGGTTTCTCTGGTTGTTTTTCCCACAGGTTTGTTCTCTGTCCTGGCTGGAGCAACTGTCTCTGCCGTGTTATACCTTGGAGTTTCCGGCGGTAGTGTGTGGGGCTTAAAGGCTCAACGGCACGTAGCCACATGCGCCAGGTGCCATTCCTGGGATTCTTACCGCGGTGTTATTTTTCTGGACTTCTTCCCCCTTGCATACACGGTGTTAAGCTCCCCCTGAGTTTCTGCTGTCGTGTGGTGTGGTTGGTGGTGGTGTGTGTGTGGTGAGAAAGTCCCGGGAAACACAAATAATGACCGGAACTTGGCTGACGCGGACAGGTGTGTCGAATCAAGATCTTTATGATCTGTCCGTCCACGGCCACGACAACACATCAAGCTCTTGATCCCTGCTCAACTCCACCACTGCCACCGCCAACACCACCGAAATGGCTGTACATGTACTAAAACCGCTCACTGCTAGCTCTCGTGTCAGTTTCAATTAAAATGTCAAAGCACCAGATGATCTTGTCCCCAGGGCAATGCGCCTCAAAATGTGTTAACCCTTGGCCTAGACGCCTGACTACAAGTACAACCGGACATCCTTTTCAACAACTGGTCAACACTATGGTACAAACTGTTCCCTGCTCCACAGCAACCAACCACCAAGACTTCAAGTTGTGGTTCAGATAGAAACAGTTTATTACATCCAACTTCACATAATTACCTGAAATCGATTATCGATAATCGATCTTGTAGTCCAGCTTCCAAGTACAGATTAGCTCTTGCTTATCGATATTTCATAAGCCGATTTTTTTGTTGCTTCGAACGGCATGCATGCCGGGAATACTCGGGATGCCTCGGTCATAACGCAAACCGGCAGCGCGCACCACTTCCCACGCCCGAGCACACATCTCACTCTTCTGTGCCTCGCAGGATGATGCGATGATTATTATATAAGCGGCCAATCCGGATGTAACTAATATGTCAGGACCCCCATAAAATAAAATTATGATGGGGTGACACTGCTGGATACATCATAACACGCGTGAACCTTCTCTCTCTCCGTGAAAAAAAAATATGAGATGGAGAATTTCCGGCGACAGGCGCGCCGGTTTGCCAAGACAATGGGGAGTGACAGGCCTGCGTGGTGGGTCAACGGTTCCTAGGTCTCTTGGGTTGTGTGTGTTGGGGGGAGGGAGGGGGGGGGGGATAGAAGTAGAGTATGAAGAAACATCGGATTTGGAAGACTTGGGCCTGAAGGAATCGGCTAGCATAAGTGGAACTTGCGGGAAGGGGATATTAATTTTTTTGTCACTCAGATTTTTCAAAACATGCTTTGCAGATTTAGGTTATCAAACAGAGTTAAATTTGAAGGTTGTCGACAATAAAGTTGGAATTGGCAAGGCATTGAGTACATTATTACTGAGAATATAGGTTACCCACTGTGAACGCCGGTGTGTTCACTTGTCAGATTTGAAAACAGAAAGTCATGATGTGCGGCAATATCTAACTTTGTTTTGCCAAATAATATACTTCGTAAATATGGAAGTTCGTGTAATGTAAAGACTTGTACTTTCTTGATAATCATGAAAACATCGTGCAACGGCCACTCGAGAAGACACACTCACTACTTTTTTAACAAGAATGTCAACGCAATGGATGAATACGTGTCCTACAAATTAATGATATCGCAATTGTCCAACCATAGAGTAATGATATCGCAATTGTCCAACCATAGAGAAAGGACACATGGACTGCAAGGCAGAACAGGGAAGGCAGTATGATTGAAGCTAAGTTGAATGACACGTGTTATCCCTAGTTATTTATTGCATATCCTTGTTGGCTTAATGAGTGAATTTCCGACAAAACCTGCCTTGTTAGCAAGCACGAGTGACAGATGATATAGCGGTTGTTGCCATTACAAGTTGTTAGAAACTTTTCAACAACACTGCCCCCCCCCCCACCTCAAGACAGAGAATGACATCTCTGGTCCCGCCCATCCCAAATACCCTATTTCCCCGATATACACACGCACACCCGTATACGGAATTTCCTCCTTCGTTTCTATCTCTATACAATCTAATTAGATAGAACAACTAACAAGACAAGACGAGGCCATTTCCGTCAACACAGCGGCCGATAATTAGACGGACGTGTTAATCAAATGATAAGAGCGTGCGAACGCGCCCAGGGCCGGTCGAGGAAGGGCGGGGGAGGGAAGGTGATTGATGGTGCGACAAGCTTGCTCGGCCCGTGAATCTCAGAGCCTAATAACTGCACGCCAGTGCACAGTACACACATTTTTGGCTTACTAACTCCCGAGGACTCGTATTGTTCCCTTCCTTTTATTCCTGTTGTGTTTGGAACTTTATTTTCTTGACATGTCTCATAAGGTTTGTACACGAAAACTATCGAGGACATGATGGACTCGGGGTTGCTATATCAGGTACCCCTATTCTCCATGTCCTCGGTCGAAAAGGATTACAGTGTGCGTGCCAATTTAGCACACTCTAAATGATCAGATCCTCTGATAACCATGACTCACTTGAAGGCTTGTAAAAAATTAAGGGTTCGAGCTCTGAACTCGACCGTATAAGCTTTTATTTCTGAGAAGTTTGGACGGCACGGACGCTGTTTGTGTTAGAGACGGAATCATCTTCCTGCAGGGGGTCGAGTTTGTGCACATGTCTCCGACTCGGTAATGCCACAAAATCAAAATTCCACCAGGAGTGTATTGCGCATTGCAACATCTTCTTGATTTCATTCCTTTTGGTGGTCACAGAGGGCCAGCTTAATGTCCTCTTTGTCCCTGTCCACACTGACTCACTGTAGCCGGGCAGTGCTATCGTTTAGGAAGACCCCGTTCTGAATGAATGGGCTAAATCTGGCCCATTGCGTGAGCCAGATGTACGAAAAGACTTCCAGTGAATAGCCACCCTGAATCAATTGTTTTATAGCTCCATGAATGAACAGAAATTCGTGTGCACTCCGGGAGCAGTTTTTCTAGGCTTGCCTGCTGCGGGTCTTGATCAGTTGTGTGCACAGTTTCATGCAAAGACAAGAATGCACTGTTCTGTGACCGTTAACGTTTAATCTGTGTTTTTTTTTTTTAACGAGAGGAAGCAATCCCTCCTTCTTGTGTTAATGACCAGCAATTTTAATTAGACACCAGGTGCATCTTGCAAGCTCGCACACCGCACTTAATTAGTGACCGGTGCAGGCGGCATGCATGCACACACAAGGAGAGATTTTTTTTTAAAGTCACTTAAAATTCCTTTCCCTGATCACATCTGTGCACGGAGCACTGACCTCGAGCCGATGTTTTAGTAGAAGAGAAAGTATACGGAACTGCTTTAGAAGAGACGTATTGCTTAGCAGATTCGTGTTCTTAGCAAAAGCTAGCTGAAAACCAGATGTGCATTTCATTACTGTTGACTGGTACAAACCTGTTTTTGCAGTGCAGTTTTCTATAGCATCTCAGTGACATTGGCCCTTGTGCCCAATTTTAGACATGCAGCTGGTCATTTCGACCCGGGTCATTTTCCGGGTCATTTTTACCCGGAAAGTGCTATTTTGACCCGGAAAAGTGTCGGGTCAAATATGACACGGATTGACCCAGATCAGATCTGACCGGGACTCTTTAGAGTGCAATTTGTCTTCAACACCAGGGCCCAATTTCACGGCGCTGCTTAACAGTTAGCAGAAAAGTTGTATTTAGCATAGCAGAAAAGTTGCTAACCTTAAGCACTATTTCACGGCGTGTGTGTGCTAACGGTTGCGCGTGCATGGAGATTTCTATTGTTACGTCACTAAGTTAAGCAAATATTTCCTCTGAGGTAAGCATGCCTTTTGCTGTGCTTATGCTTACGGTCTCCGTGAAATAGACGTAGGCTCTGTTAGCAGAAAACCGTGTGCTTACCAGCGCCGTGAAATTGGGCCCTGAAAGTCAGCTGGAAAGAGCTATAAGAGTTGTGTACAACCTCTTATATATTACTATTAATCTACTGCTCATGAGTACATGCAAAGAATTGCTAATCAGAATAATATACTGCCAGTGCAACTCTCTGGAGTTGATTTTATTTTTTTACCACAGAATAATGACAGTCAAAAGAGTAAAGAATCCATCATTTCCACACTTTGTAAGGGTACGTGAAAAGATTAACAAGATGCCCAAAACTCAGTATACTTTTGTTATTACTATAAAAATTCAATATACAGAAATTAGCACCTCATCAATTAACGAACACCTGAAATCCCTTTAATATATATAAAAAGGAACAGAAACCCTGTAACGCTTGGTCGTTCAGAAACGAAAGGATTTCAAACTTCGGTTAACTTGAAGCTTGGAGCTATCTTGAAGCAACCACTTTCGCCATGTAGTACAGGCGCGTGCTGGTCCAAGTACCATCAGCAGCAATTAAAAAAATAACACCGAAAAAAGAGCCATTTGGTAAACAGATTGCCGGGGTCACTGACCGCTCGGTCGAGGTGAGAAGTCAAAACCTTTATAAAAAGTCTCGTGGTGGTGTGGTGTTGCCATATAAATACTACCAACATGTTGCTTATGATTTACTACCAGACTCCATGTGTTACGGGGAGCCTTCTCCGATGTCCCCATCATAATTCATACAGTCACGTGGCCCAGACCGGACGTTGCACGATCCGTTCTGTACAATGTTGTCAACTCTTGGTCTGGTATCCGGGCCTCGGGGGCCTTGTCCCCCGCTGAAAGCTTTATGTCGTGGGCCTTGTATGTGTGTGTTTTGGGGGCCTGAGTGATGCTAGACAGGTCCTGCAAAACGCCAGAAATTGCCCTCGGGCCAAACGCGTGCAAAACGACATCAATACTCACGAACACAACACGAGACTGTAGGTACTTCTACAGCAATTAAGGTGAACTCCTAACATACATTGAAATTGTGAAAACATCGAAATGGTACACTGAAATCAAGCAAGCAACTGGGAAGTCACACGAAAGAGGAAATGGCAAGCTTTACAATGACTCTCTGCAGTGTACTTCAATTTGACATGGCATAGTGTAAAAAAGAGGGAATCAGCTGATCTGAGGAAAGATGCATGCCCGTGAAATGGTAAAAAAAGAAAGAAAAAAAAACAGACCGCATATTTTGCTTACAAAATTGGATTTTGTGGTCATATGATGCCAAATTTCGCCAAACCGTTCTCTTCTGCACTGCAAATGTAGCCCTACATCTATTGGAATATGAACGGTTTAAAAGTGTTGACATGTACACTGTTTAATGTGGGCCAAATAACTTGCAAAAGATACTTAAATGCTTAGGTTACCTATCGCTTGCCTGTCGGGATGACGTCAAATGTAATATTTTAAGAAAAGCCAGTTTTCCGTTAAGTACCTTAACGTCTTGTTTTCGCAGCGGAAAACTGTGAGTTCGAACCAGGCGCTTGCCAGATATCTGAAGGGCGAGCTGCTATAAAAGGTAAACGAAATCCCTTGTCTCGTTATGAATATATGGTCAAATTTTGACCAGCTACACACACAAAAAAATTCCTTACATTTGGTACATGCCATGGGACTAATGATTGGTTAACAACATGATTATAAGGCTGTAAGTTGGGTGCAGCTACTGAAGAATATTATTGTCACATCAGAGAAAACACCCCCCCCCCAAAA